TTTTTACATTAAACTCTTTAAGCATTCATTCGTGCTTCCTGATCTCTATTGCCCCTAAAAAATTTTTGTTCACAGTATATCGTATTCATTTATCAGACTAACCACTCCACCCAGACTTTAGGGTTAGGGTGCATTTATGTACCCCTACTTCAACAGTGAATTTTACCAAGAAACCTAGCTGTTGTTGACCACTCTAAATATTCCCAAACTACATGGAGGCTCAGCAGAAGAATACAATGAGATTAAAAAAAAATTATTATTATTTAAAAAATATAATTCACATCCATAGCACTGGAAATTCCACTAAAATTTACAAAGCAGCTCCCCACAGTTTAAGCCTTGTGTGTCTTAGACAATTAAAGGAAGGCAAACTGATGTACTCGGACTCTGTTAGGGGAATGATGAAAAGAAATAAATTAATTACAGGGGGAAAGAAATATAAACCTTTGGGTTCCACGTTTTTACCCCAGGAGAGGTGAAAAGAGTGAATTTGAAAACCTAATGATATACTCTTGATAATTCAGTTCCATTGCATTTTCAGACGAATCGGAATTTTAGGAAAGAGAATTTTCCTTTGTCAGCCTTTTAAACGTGAAGGTGAAACCATTGTAAGTTAAGTGTGCAGGTATTTTACTCTTCAAAAAAATGGTTTCCTTCTTTTTTTAATGGTTCCTTTAAGACCAGCTTTAGGAAAGTTGTCTCTCTGTTCTCATCCAAGCTAGTCTACGGATATGAAAAGGATAAAAGATAAAGGTAACTTCCCTGTCTTGCCCCATGCCATCTCTCTAACTACATTTTTTGCTCTTACTTCCTCAACAGGGTTTCTGGAACTGAAGAAAGGAACCCTATTCCATTAATGGATTACATCCTAAATGTGGTAAGCTTTTTTTGTGGTAAGCACTATTGATGAATTTTACTCCTTGGATGGGTTGGCCAACCAAACAAAAGAGAAATATTTATGTTTTGTGGTAGATAGCAAAAAGAGAAATAGCCATATGCCATTGTTCTAGCTTCATGGGAGCAAATTTCTAATGAGGGGCTAAAATTCTTTTTTGATGTATCAGATCTCCTGGCTAGGGCTCTAGACATTTGCAAATAAAATGAGAGGCAGGTCAGATTTCTTTGATACACATAAAACCAGTAAGTTAATTAGGTCCCCAAGCTCAGATAATTTACAGTTGTATGTTCTTTGCTATTTACTTAGCCATCCCCCAAATCGTGGCCATCCCCTTGTTTTATACTTCTTTGCAACTTTAAAAAGAGCTGCAGTAGATTTTTTTTTATAAAAAGGTTCCTTTTCTCCTTTTTTGATCTCTTTAGATTATAGACTTAATATTAGTATTGGTAGATCAAAGGGAATATGCAGATTAATAGTTTTTGGGCACAGTTCCGAGCTGTTTTACAGAATGGTCGGACTGATTCATACATCTCTCAGCAGGGAATTAAGATTAATTAAGTGGATTCCCTCTCCTAATAGTTTATCTTTAAGCATTTGTCATTTTTTTTGTCATCCTAGCTAATCTAATAGGTATAAGGTTTTAATTTTCATTTGTCTAATTATTAATGAGTTTTTAGAGCATTTTTTCATGTGGCCATTGATAAGGCTATCAATAGGCTTTCTTCAAAGTTCTGAAAAGCCTATGAAAAAAGTATATTTAAGTGTCGCTGAGGAAAAGGGTTGTAGAATAGCACAAATGATGACTACTTGAAGAAATGATGGAGGCTCTATCGAGTCATTGTTTTGATAAGATACCACAGACAGTTTAAAACTGCTGAACTTCTTGTGTTTGGCCTCCTTAAAAAGGACAGCTTTTATCCTTTCCCTTTCATTTGCTTGGCCTTAGCTAAGCCTTCCTTTAATGTTGCAAGTAAGTTGTGCCAACTCTAGTCTGACTTTTTCTTTCCTAGATGAAATTTGTGGAGTCCATCCTAAGCAACAACACAACAGATGACCATTGCCAGGAATTTGTGAGCCAAAAGGGGCTACTGCCCCTGGTCACCATTTTGGGCCTCCCCAATCTACCTATCGACTTTCCAACATCAGCTGCCTGCCAGGCTGTGGCAGGTGTCTGCAAATCTATACTGGTGAGAAGTAGGGCAATAATCTAGTTTCTCATTTTGATCACCTATATTAGAAAAGAAGCCCCAGAGACATCCCAGACTATTGCTGAAATCAAAAGAAAGTATAATTGGATATTTTAAAATAAAATGAAAAGTGAGATTTGTCTTTCTTGATTGATTGATTCTTCCATGTTGACTTATACAGATCAGTATAAGCACAATAGAGAGAAATCTGCTTAATATCAGTTACCAGTTTTACAAATTGCTTTTAATTAGCCATCTAAAGCTGCTGTCCTTCTGACCTTAATTCTCATACATTAAGAACAAACAGTTGTATCCTCTCCTGGAAGAGAAGAATGAATTAAAGAAATAAACTTGGAATGGTCTCTGTGGTTGTGGAGACAGCGAGAGAGAACGTTGTGATGGGCCACTTATTTCAGATTATATCCAATGTGAATTTGCTTAAATTAGTTAAATAAATTCTAATTAAGTTATTCCATTACCAAGTAGACCTTGTAATATTACTCCAGTGTGACATGTGAAGTTTATGCTCCTCACTGAAGTGAGGAAAGAAGCAGTGTTATTTTTTCTGTAGAAGGCAAAAATTACCCTGGAATACAGAGCCTGAAAACATTTGATTTATTGCAGACTCTGTCACATGAACCAAAAGTCCTTCAAGAGGGACTCCTCCAATTGGATTCTGTCCTCTCCTCCTTGGATTTGCTGCATGGGCCAATTGAGTCCCCTGGGGGATCAGTGCTGCTTCGAGAGCTTGCTTGTTCCAGCAGTGTTGCAGATGCCACCCTTTCTGCCCAGGCCACCCCCCTCATACATGCACTCACAGCTGCTCATGCATATATCATGATGTTTGTTCATACTTGCAGGGTGGGCCAGGTAAGAGTAACTGTAGGGACTAATCTCCTGAACCCATGAGTAAATTTTCACCCCCAAAAGCCTTCTCTAGTGGAATAAGAGGTATGTATCTCTTAAATAATTACAAGGAAAATTGAGTTTATATAAAAGTATTATCTTTGGTTGAGGATACCACTTCTCCTTTAAGGGATTTTAAGAAATTCAAGAAATCATTGAATATTGCTTTGAAACAGAAAATACACTGAGAAAGTGTTTCTAACTCAAAGCA